ACCCTGACCCACAATCATATGAAGATATTGGGAAAGAAAATGGTCACATTCTATGGAAAGAGGCAAATCTCCCCCCCCCCCCCACACCTGAATGATTTTAAGGAAATTATACATGGGGTCATTGATAGTCCCTTTCTCAAGTCCCTACCCATGACCATTTACATTGAAAGGTTAATTTATATTTAAGATTGTTAAATCCAGGGCAACCACCTCACCCATTGCTGGCAAACAGAGAATAACTTCAACAGACTTAAAATTAGAATTCTTAAGGATGAAAGCCAATCAAAAAGCCATCTGTCAAAAAAGGTTTGAAATTATTCCCTTTCATCTACCTCCACAAGAAGCAGAACAATTTATTACCGTGTGGCTGAATGGTTGGCTCTGGTGATCGCTTCTAGGGCCAATTAAAGGGTTAGCTAAGCCATGAGAGCTCATAAATGAATCCAATTCCTTTCCCTCTATTTCCTTCTATAGCTTGAAGATAAAGCAAGGATGTAATGTGGAAGGTCTGTGGCTTTATATAGTGACAAATGACTATATTACTAGTAGCAATAATAGGTCTTTGTCCCAGATACTATAGGCTTTGCTGAGCTTCGTATTTCTTTACAACAACATAACAAAGAAAGAACATGAGATGTGTAAGCACTGTAGTCCCATGTACTGACAAATGGAAATGGTGCTATGGCCAGCAATAATTCTTTGTCTAGTAACCAGAAGCCCATTATTTGTTTCGCTTCTCTCAAAGGGGACATAAAGTAGAACTAGTGAGAAGAGATTTAAAATCTTAAATTCTTCTTTATGCCTATTTCTAAAGCCACTTAAGTTTCATTTATTTACAAATAGAAGGGGACAAACAATATACTTTTACATACAGTATTATACATGATAATACTTAGAAGTTGCAATAGTTTCAAATTATTTATGAAATGAAATAGAATTAAAACTTTTTTGAAATTGTTTCCAATTAATAAATATGGTTCAGTAACACTAATCAAAGTGAAAGTAGATGGTAGGATGATCATTTTCCTGTCTCTATAGCTATCCCAGCTGTGTTGACATGACTCTGCTTAAGAGGGACCAGGTTCATATACTTTAAAAATGTTTAATTGTTTACATTATCCATTGATTGTGATTTAATATTCGGTATCTTTAAAATTCTTAATACATATTAAAAACCTTCACTTGCATAAAAAAGGTTCTAAATATTATAGGTTGAACCTCTGTTAACAAGGACTCCCTGCAGCTGGATGGCTAGGTACAACCTAGCAGGGCTGCATGGCAAAGCCAGGAGCCCAGTGCACCACTGTGGGGCTACTGGGCAAGACAGAGATGGGGGAGGGAGCCGGCCAGGAGGCTGGTGGCTGGTCCAGGGCTGAGGGGAGCCAGTAGCAGTGGGGCCAGATATAACCTCCCCTGGTACAGCAAAATCCCTCATGTATGACCAGTCAGTCCCATGGGTGCCAGACCAGCCAGGTCCAACCTGTACCTAGTCTTATGTGACTCGTTTAGCACTATCTATCTATCTATCTATCTATCTATCTATCTAATAACCAGATCCCAATATTTAACAAATAACCCAGGATTTTATGTTTCATATTAAATATTATTGTAGTGTCTCACAAAATCAGAAGCGACGAAGCTCTGTTAGCACAGATATTATAAAAGCTCTATTTTTGTTACATTAGTCTAATATTATACTGCAAGCGTAAAGTAAGGACTCCTCTTCTCTAGCCAATGTGATAATTGCGGGGGTTTTCAACTTTTTCCCAACAAATTAAAACATGAAAACAATTGTAATACAATAAATAAAAATCAACAATAGTAGGAGTGAAAAACAATAGGGTTGGGGGTTTTGTTTAACAGGAAAAATCTTTTTGGTTATCTACCATTTAAAATTAGGTGTTTTTAAAGATTAAGTACAATTATAATTAGCTAGGTCATCCTTTTTCTTAGTAAAACTTGAGGTTCAGGAAACAGATCAACAAAACCTCTGAGACTCTCTCTGTATTTTTATGTAATATATCTTCTACTTATGGCCCACTGCTATACAGGAAAGAGAAGTAGATCTGGGGTGAACTAACTTCAATGGACAAAGATTTCACTCTTGGTTTCTAGCCTGTGTAGCTCCACTTTCAGGCTGACTACTGGAACACTGGTTCCATGGTTAACAAGGCTTTCCCTGGAAGCACACTGCAACTATAATCCAAGGACCTCCTCTACTACTGTCCATTCCTGGACTCTCCAGTGGATGGGGTTACTCTATGCAGAAGGTTGGAGAGGGAGGGAAGGGTGCCATTTCCTGAGGGCAGGCAAGACAGTGGCTGTGCATACTGGAATGCTGCTTGCTTTTTTCCCCATTCCTCTGGCTATCAGAGAGACAGAAGAAGGTGCACAGATTTGTGAATTACCCTCCCTTCACCAGCCAGGAGTGAGAGGCATGTACAGAAATGGCGTACTTTCCCTTCATCCCCAGATAGTCAAAGGAATGGAAAGAAAAGTAAGAAGTGTCCCAGTTTGCATGGCTTTTGCCCCTTCCCTCCTGAAATGGTGCCCTTGGAGGAAGGGACACAGAAGAGGTAACACAGCCTGTGGGCATATTAAGTTTTTGATGGAGTTACTGCTCAGTGTCCTGAAAAAGAACAAAACATGCTCCTGCCTTTGACCTGCTTCACATGTAGAAATTCAGACTTGGGGAGTGTTTTCTGAAATATCTCTGGCAAAGGAGATGGTGCCATGGCGGTGGTTGACACCATGTGCTGCCTGTAGACCTGCATATGGCAATTGCCCAATACCATTGTTAGGGAAAAGCCACAGTATTTTAAATACTTGCTATAGGATTAGTTTGTTTATTTAGCACGTGAATAACTGTCTAGACAAATGATGGCTTCTTCAGAGGCATGCAGCAAGTCATTCATCGCCAATGTGTGTTGATGGTATTAGTGAAGAGACAGCTCTCATAAAAGCTTGATACTTTGTTGGGCACCTTATGATAGTAACGCCTGAGGTGACCTCAGTCACATCAATGTAAGTCAGGTACAAGTCAGTTTATACTAATGGAGTTATCCAGGTCTAAGACAACAATAAGGCAGGAATTAGTTCTGTAATTTCCATAGAAATCTAGCAAAACTTCTGAAAGAGTAATTACAGTGCATGGAGTTTAAATAAACTGCTTAGTATAAAAACCTTTATGATGAAATTAACTTTAACAGATCCATTAAATAGTGCATATTATAAAAGTCTCTCTAAATACCACAATTGTTAAAATTAAAATACCATTAGTATGTATGGCTCTAGACAAGCATATACATAAGGCATAATCACATAGGTCCCACTGAAATTAATGACAAAACTCCCAAGGCCTTCAATGGAGGCTGAGATATCATCCGTAATATTTCTTTTTCACAAAATAGATTATGTTATCCTACAAGCAATTTAAACAGATCAATGAATACCTACTATTAAACCACAAATGATTACATTGTACTTTACCATGAACATACAAATGGCACAAGGCCATTTAGATCAAGGAATCAAACTTCCTTCTTAACATACCCCCATGCTATATATTCTGTGGGTGCTTGTGACGGGGTCCTCCCCACCCCGTTCCCTTCTCCCCGAGATTAAAGCAGTTACAACAGACCCGGGGGCCTAGCCCGCAGTCACAACAGGCCCAGAGGCCTAGCTTAGCAGTTACAACAGGCCTGGAGGCCTAGTCCGCAGTCACAACAGGCCTGGAGGCCTAGTCTGCAGGATGGCGCTAACTGATGTCTCCCGTCTAACTGCAGATGCTGGGCACTTCCCTCTTCCTGACAATTCTCTTTATGCCATCTTAATACAGGCGGTCCCACCTGTCGATGCTGGGCTGGCGGCGGCAACGTCAGCCGGTCCCGTCTCTGGGGCAGCAGCGCAAGGGTTGTCCACTGCAGTGGGGCGGGCCGTCCCCCGGAGTCGGCGTTGGGGCCGTGCTCGGCCCAGGGATGGTAGCAGCCATAGCGGCAGTCCCCCCGGCTCTAAATCTGGTGGCAGGTCCAGCTGCAGGCCTGCAGCTGGGACCGGAGCTCCTTCCTCCCCGGCGGTCTGCCCCAACTGAGCAGCCCGGCAGCCTTTTATAATGAGGCTGCACTTCGAGCATACCCAGTAGGGCTGTGGGTGAGGGGCGTACTCTACCCAATAAACAGGCTCCTCTCCCTCCTGCTCAGTGCGGGGCTGTATAAATATGAGTCTGTAAATTTCCAAAATGCATCAGGTGCTGACTATACATTTGAAAACATATGTGTTAATTTCAGCCTCCCTTTTCCCATCTCTAAGATAAGTATAATAATAATAATTACCACACTTCGATAGAGTGAAAAAATAAATAAGGCATATAAGACACACAGAGTTCATTGGAAGAAGAGCTCTACGTATGAAAAAGGGATAACATTGGCTAGCAATATTACTATTGGATTTTTGGATTATTAGAAGCCATTGGATAAAATTATGGATCTAGAGACTTCTAAAATAGTCTGAAAAACTTGTTATTTAGTGAAATGTTAACTGACTTGAGAAAACAAAGTCTACTCTTTTATAATAAATAAGAAGTTTTTGTGTTAAATTACATAATTATTATGCATTTAAAGAAATCCATTTTAACACCGGGCAAATATTTTTCTGTGCCATGACCAAACGGAACTGGATTTAACACAGTCCACAATATGCTTCCTTTTTAAATGCAATTAAGCAAAGAGCATAGGTCAAAAGATACCAAAGAAAGTAAAAATACCATCACTTTTAAAATATCAGGTTGTTATGGTATCTCTTTGAGGTAAAATTTGTGTGGTTGTCCAGTCTTAAGTCACATTTTTAGTCTATCAATTGTGAATGCAACTATTGACTCATCTGTAGGCAATAATTAAAATGAGATTTTAGAACAACTGAGTGACTGGACTTCAAATTACAAGTCTAAGGATTTTGTAATTAGACAGGCAGGCACAAACTAATCTATAAATTGGTATTCATACCGTCATAAATCCATCCAGCAAACCTGAATCAGGTTTAGGAGGTGCTTGCAATCGTTCCATGGACCACTTTTCAATGATGGAAGCCACCTGGCTATTCTCCGTGTTTAAGATTCTGAATCCAGTCATATTAACCCCACTGTACCGGTAGGGTTCTACATCCAGAGCAAAGAGGTCCTGAAAGAGATATATGTCACATAAATGCTTTAGATATGTCCCTTCTTAATTGAGGCATTTAACCACTTATCTGTATATAAGCTCTGAAACTTCCCATGATAAATGGTATAGTACATGTTACAAAGCACTATATATTCCATATATAGGTTCAGGTGGGGTCTATTTCCTCTATTTTATGCACACATAAGCCTATTGATGGTAGTGGGAATTCCCTATATGTACACAGGAAAGAACATATCCCACAGCCTTAAACAAAGCATGTTAGGAAAAAAATTAAGCCCAGTGGCAAAGTTGCTAGTTATAAATACATCATGAATCTTAATCAAACTTGAATATTATTTGCTATTTTAATAATTACTTTTTCTATATTTCAGATATTAAATTTAAATAATAAAATAAAATATAGAATCCCTGAACTTTCCTCAGATAATTTCTCTCTTCTAAGTGGTACTCACTCGTCTAGGTTTTATCTTGCTCTATCATCAGTAACATTATTTACTTAATGATCTACAGAAAAGCTTATAGACAATTTCTATTGTCTCAAAAACAGAATACATTTGAAAAGCTCATTATTAAATTAAGACATTTTCAGTTGCATGGTGTAGAAAAAAATAATATCCCAATAACTTATTGCACATTCTGAATTTTATACATTTTTCATATCAATCACTGAATACAATATTTTCATTTTCTTCAGAATATGTAAATATCCTTAATTAATCTAATCTATTCATTTATCTACAGTACTACAACTTTTTTATTAAAAAAAAACCCAGCCATGTCTGTAGAGGAAAGAGTAAGGTTAGAAAAAATGTTCAGATGGACCAAGTACTTTAAAAACAATGAGTCCAGAGGTCTTCAGAAGGTAATATTGCAGTTGTGAAGGTGAGTAGTGAAGGTGATACAGATCCTTATTTAGCAGTCCTGCTCCATGTGGCCTGTTGATAAACACTACATCTGTGAAATGGTAATGTTAGGGTTGATATTTATCAGAATTCATGTATTTACCTAATGAAGAGCAAACAGAGCCGGGAAAGCACAATATGAATAATTGTATATTGTTAACATTGGAATTTGAACCTAATCTCACAGTTCCTAATCTGGAACCTTTCCAGATTCCAATTAGTGCTTATGTTATTATTTTTGTAGACAATGTATAGGATATGTACAGTGCTTAATTTGTGCCAGGGCTTATCTAGGCTGAGCCCCAGTATCTCTAGACTTGGCAGTTCATAGTCTCAGCACCTCTGGGCTTGCAGTTATCAATGTAAAAAAATTGCCAATGTTAAACCCTTAATTGTTTATGCCCCGACACCTCTCTCATTACATATTGAGTACTGGATATGTAGGAATTCAGAATGTGTCTGTTTGATATCTATTTACACATTTCCATACTTGTGTCCTTATTCTAAAGGCATTGAACATTTTAGTAGAATACCTAAAAGTCATGAGAACTGTTGTTGTAATGCTGTACTCTTATAGAATGTCTTTCCCTTCAAATTTCAGATGCTTTCAAACATCTGCACAAAACCCACCAACCTCATAACTAATTATTCAATCCAAACACATTCATGTTTACACAAAAGTATAATAAATATACACAACAGCTCAGTGTATTAATGAGCTAGCGCATTAGACCCCAGAATCAATCACCGGAGAATAAGACTGAAGACTGCTCTAAATGCTGTGATTGGAAAATTTATTTGACAGGACTTTCACTGTGTCAAGTAAGAAGCAATTAATAAATCAAAGCATCTGAGACTCTGTTGCAAGACACAGAGCTGTACTGCAGCATCAAAATCTATCAGCTGCTGGCATATGCCAAATTATCCTTTGCTGTCACTGATTCAAGCTGGTCCTTGATTCATCTAAAGAAACTAGTATTCCAAGAAGCAAATGAAAATATGTAATTACAGCAAAATCCAGATTTTAAAATTTAGTTTAAAAGTCCATTATAAAATATAAAGCAAATAAATAAATAAAATGAGACAGAAAGCTCAAATCACTCATAGCATTGACTAGTCAAATCAAATCACAACTACACAGAAATTTTAAAATGTGGGTTGCAATTATTCAAAACAAATTATTTAGGACTCATATATGGACCAAGATTTTTTTGCTAAAGGAATTAATAACTAACGTGTAATAAAGAATATATCTGAGAATTTTACAATTGTTCATAGCAAAAAACAGTAAAGAGAAAAATGGCAAGATTCAGAATAATTATTAGTAGTTGTATCATTATGCTCTCAGCTCTACTCAAAAGTTAAAATCTGTAATGCCACAAAATAATTTTCTCAGATTTATCATTTTCCAGTGTGCAGTGCTGAACATTAATTAAAATATCTCATGATTTCTCATTGAATGTAACAAAACTTGATGGAGAAAACATCCCGTACTCATACACCATTACTGAGAGATTTCATTCGCATTGTCAAGTAATGTAATTAAGATAACTAAGGCTTTAATTCAGTGCCATCAGCATGTTTTTATAAGCTACTTACCAATGTGGTAAAGATATAATGATAGTATTCTGTCATCATTCCCATAGCTAAAGCCTAAAAAAATAAAACAAAAAATTAATATTTCTGCGGTCATATAATATACTCCTTAATCGCACCTGTACAGCAAATTAGAAGCAGAAGTAGAATACTATTGGGAATAGACTATAAGGTAGGAATTATACTAAAATTAGGTCAAGCAAATCATTTCTTAATAGTTAGAACAGATTACTGACTATTAAAGGAATTTATGAACCAGATCTCCTGATAGAAAGATTATTATTAGAATGTTTAGAGCAGTAATTGTGAAAGAGTCTTATAGTTTTACATATTAATGGGAGCATTAACTTGCCACACAGAATGTGAATTAAGAATATTTTACTTCATTGTATTTATAATGTCTCAATAAATAATGACCTAATGAGAACACAAGTCTACTTTGATTAACAATATTTGTCAATTAAAAACTAGCACTAACAAAATAAGTAGAATGCTGATTGACAGAGAGAGAAAGAGAGAGATCCAGGATCCAACTTTTAGACACTTTTCCCATATTTCTTTAGCATTAATGGAGCATTTACCATCAAATATCAGTATCATTAGTCAAAACTTACAGAAAACTAACAAATAGGTTTTCTTACCTTCCTAAAGCAGAACAGCAAATATTTTCAACTCAATTGTGTATTTTCAATTTTGTATATATTTTTGTTGGCAGAACAAAACTAAATATTCTTCAATATAGTTTCAAGACAGTGGGATGGAGCTCTCTCCACATTCTAATTTCTTAATCTTCTACGTTAGAGTACAATTCCAATGCGAAAAGCATTCTGCTGAACAGCCTCCTTTGTATAATTGAGATGTATATTCAACAATATTCAACTAAATCTTTTAGTTACGTTCTTAGTGCTGAAGAGATAAAATAGCTATGAGAGGAGTTTCTCTTAGGCTATGTCTACACTACAGAGTTTTTCCAGGATACCTCTGATAAGCCAGAAAAACTCTGCTGCATCCAGGGAACGTGTCTGCTTTTTTGGATCAGTTTCTGAAAAAGCAGGCGTGTTCTTCGGAAGCCCTATATTCCTCATTTTATGAGGAATAAGGGCTCTTCTGAAAGTGGAGGTTTTTCCCACATTTGGAGACCGGCCCAATGTCGGAAAAGCCTCTTTCGAAATAAGAATTGGAAAAAGGTACGCAAAATGCAGTTTGTAATTTGCGTACCTTTTTCCAAAAAAGAACTACAGTGTAGACATATCCTTTGTGTTGATTTCTCATTATCTACTATCACAGTCCTTCCCTTTCTTTCCTCTCCATCCTCTTCCCACATCTACCCTCAATTTTTTCTCTGTCTTTCCCCAGCCTCAGTATAAACACCTACTTCCCCAAACTTTACACTCCTTTATATAGCCCGAAAAACTGACCTCCCTTTCAACCTCTCCTTCCAAGGGGGAAAAAAAAAGAACTTGTGTCCACCTCTGATTTATATGCAAGTTCTAATATCTTTGCCCCACAAAAGCTTAAGCTAAGGACCAATCTCTTTCCTCCCCATGCCAAGCACTGTAGTTGCATGGGAGGGAAGTAGGTGCTATCTGCCCAAGTATATGCCAAGTCAATAAAAATCCTATATATTTCCTGTTGTGGGGTGCCTTAGGTTCTCATTTTCCAGAAGGAGAGCAAACAGAAAAGTTATTTCCCTTTCCTGTGCATCAGCTACTGCTGTTTTGCTGCTGATGCAAAGATGCTACTCATGGAGAGTAAGTGACTTCTGAGTGTTCTGGGAGCTACAGGGGAGCTTACATGAAGAAAATGAAGAGATGGCATCCCCTACCCTCGTCTTGCACACCATTGGCCTGGAAACCCGCCTTGATTGTCATGGCAGAAAATGATATTTCTTGGCTGGCATTTAGCAAAAGCATCTTTTTAAACACACACACACACACACACACACACACACACACATACAAGATAGTAAGATCATTTCTGTCAATGAGTCATGGAGAGACTATAAACATGCAAATCCACAATGCCATTGTCACAGAGTCAATTTTCAAATCAGAACCTTATTCTCTGCAAAAGTATTAAAGTCAGCTGCTTAAAGCATCATTGGTATATTAAGTCAATAGCTTTAGTTGATTTTTTTCTTTAATTGTCAAAAATTGAAGGGAATAGAAAATTCTAAAAAGCAGCAGAATTTTAAAACTTGAATTCTTATTAAAGTATTTTCACTGCATATTCTGAGCAGAGTTACTCTCTCAGTAGTTTGCTTGCATTGTTTAAAATTTGGTGAAAATAGTTTGGAATGGGAATTTTATGTTTGATAAATACTCTCCTCTGAGAAGCTAGTGAGAAGATGGGACATAGAAAGAAGATACACCACATTATATGTAAAGGACATATTGATTTTTGTTCATTCCCCTCTAGCAAGTACTTGTTTTTGCTGATAAAAAGCCATTTACTTTTCACATAGGAACTATTATGTGTATCATCAATAATACAACTTAATGAATTGTTAAAGTTATTGGCTTCCAACTAATATTAATACATATTTTCTACTTAAATATTTACGGTCTGTGAATAATGAAACGTGATTTTACCGAGATTGCTAATATGAGAATGACTTGCACACAGAAGAAAATTAGGGTAAAGTGTCTCTTTCAATAGTAGAACAAACTTGCAAATTACTGAGAATCATAAAAAGCTTTTGAATGAAAACAGGATAAAGAAAGATCTGTGTGGTGCATGGATTTTCTGTCGAAAGAACTCAATTGCAGTGTGGACGTCAGTGAAGTTTTTCTGGAAAAACTCTGCAGTGTAGACATACCTTTTGTGTGTCAACTAAATATAATTCTGAAAAGTCATTTTGAGCCGAAATTCAAAACCTGGAAATTACTTCTCAACTGACCCTTTATCACAAGCAGTTTCAGTTTTGACAAATTAGAATTTTTCAACACCCAAATATTTTGTAGGAAAATTCCTATCCAGTTCTAACTTATTAATGTAGTGGTCATAAAATAAATGTGCACTATAATTGCTAATGAAATATCTGAATTGATACTGTAGGGTTTGTCTTATGGTTTCAGGTGTTTATTTCCAATCACAATTTTTATTTCAAAGTCATTAATATGATGTAATTACCTCATTTTCCTTTTAAGTGGTGAAACCCTACCATGGGAACAGCTCAGGAGTGTCTCTGGGAGTTGTGAATCCTCCTTCACCAAAACTGTAGAACAGCAATGGATTACTCAGAGACGACTACTGCACCCTCAGTGCCACAATAAACTCTGACTATGCTGCATCACCTTACACAGGGGAATAGTAAGTATCCAGCCTTGCCATACTCAAATGTAACAAATCAATACAAGGTTAAGTTTTCTATTGTTGAAATACACTACTAGAATCCCATTAATTTAATTATGAAATGTATTAAAATTAGCAGTCTAAATTAAAATTGTTCATTGTGCAAAGTCACACTGAACAATTTGCTTTTCCTTTCAGAGTGCCTGTGTTTGAGCACAGAACCAATATATAAAATATGTTGGCAGAGAAAGGAACAATGGCTTCAGGTTTGCAGTAGGGAAGTCTACATTGCATATTAGGAAAAATCTATTTCACTAAGAGGATGGTGAAGCATGGAATGGGTTACCTAGGGAGGTGGTAGAATCTTCATCCTTAGAGTACGTCTACACTGCACACGTATTTTGAAAGAAGCTATTTTGAAAGAAATACAGGCAGTCCCTGAGTCATCTAGTCCAACCCTCTACTTGAAGCAGGACCAAACCCAACTAAATCATTCCAGCCAGTGCTTTGTCAATTTAGGCCTTAAAAACTTCTAAGTTTGCGTCTACACAGTAGCATTATTTCGGAACAATGACCGTTATTCCGAAATAACAATAAGAGCATCTACACAGCAATTCCATTATTTCAAAATGAATTTGAAGTAACAGATGGCTTATTCCGACTTATGTAAACCTCATTCCATGTGGAATACTGCCTATTCCAAAGTAGTTGTTTCGGAATAGCAGTAGTGTGGACGCTCCATTGCTGCTATTTTGAAATAGCTCCTTTCTGGGGCCATTCCAAGTAATTACTCCCCAGTGCCTCCTGGAGCTCTAAATCGAGGTAGCGTGTCCACATTAGGGAAGTCTGCCTCAGACCAATTTGGAGTCTACCCTGTAGTATAGACATGCTATTTCGAAATAAACTATTTCAGAGTACAGGCAGTCCCCGGGTTACGTACAAGATAGGGACTGTAGATTTGTTCTTAAGTTGAATCTGTATGTAAGTCAGAACTGGCGTCCAGATTCAGCCACTGTGGAAACTGATCAGTTTCAGCAGCGGCTGAATCTGGACGCCAGTTCCGACTTACATACAGATTCAACTTAAGAACAAATCTACAGTCCCTATCTTGTACGTAACCCGGGGACTGCCTGTACTCTGAAATAGTTTATTTCGAAATAGCATGTCTATACTACAGGGTAGACTCCAAATTGGTCTGAGGCAGACTTCCCTAATGTGGACACGCTACCTCGATTTAGAGCTCCAGGAGGCACTGGGGAGTAATTACTTGGAATGGCCCCAGAAAGGAGCTATTTCAAAATAGCAGCAATGGAGCGTCCACACTACTGCTATTCCGAAACAACTACTTTGGAATAGGCAGTATTCCACATGGAATGAGGTTTACATAAGTCGGAATAAGCCATCTGTTACTTCAAATTCATTTTGAAATAATGGAATTGCTGTGTAGATGCTCTTATTGTTATTTCGGAATAACGGTCATTGTTCCGAAATAATGCTACTGTGTAGACGCAAACTTAGAAGTTTTTAAGGCCTAAATTGACAAAGCACTGGCTGGAATGATTTAGTTGGGTTTGGTCCTGCTTCAAGTAGAGGGTTGGACTAGATGACCTCCTGAGGTCTCTACCAACTCTAACCTTCTATTTCTATGATATTCCAAAAGAGAGAGCTTAGTAAAACTGACTCTGGCTTGTTAAAAGAAGGTGAGAACAGAGTTCTTGTTATTTCTTAGAAATGTATAGTAGGCCATCTGAAGTGACATAATGATTACCTGTTTTAAAATGCCTGCTGCCATTTCATGACTGCAGTCAAAGATCACATGGAACTCTTTGCCTCTTTTCATCTCCTTCAGTAAAGGTTTAGCATCCTTTGTGTCAGCTGGTAACTGACGGATTTTTAATCTCAGGTTGTACCGTGATGGAGCCTTAATAAGCTCTTGTAATCGAATAAGACCTTAAGGAAAATATGAAGGAAACAGGAAAGGAAAATTATTGAAACAATAATGAAGTGACCTTGAAAGAGAAAATAGCTTATTACAAAATATTTGCTATTTCCTGGTTTTTCTTTCCCTTATGTGTATACTGCAGTCTGTATAAATTTTTGCTTAAAGAAATGTCATTGCTTTCTTGTCACAATTCCTTTCTCTTCATTAATATTAATAGACAGTAAGCAGCCTGAGTTAGGATTACCTTCAGGGATGCAGCCAAATCTTCCTTATGCATTATTTTGAAGCTATAGTATTCCTCTCCAAAGAACATATATAATTATTCTAATTCAATTAAAGCAATATTCCAGACTAATAGTTCGTAATCAGACTACTCATTCTCATGGCTAATCTATCAGGTTTATATACACAATTTCAGTTTATTACAGCAGCCAGGAATATTTTCATATGATCCACACCAAGCTACTAACAGAGTTAATTTTTCTTTTTAAATTATACCATTAAGCAGCTTCAAAAGCACAGCAAAAAGAGGTATAGTGTAAAGAGTAGATTCATGCACTTCCTTCCTTTTTAACACACTACAAAATATTTTGAATTACTTATTCCCCCCTGGGGAGTTACATACATGGAAATTTCTCAAAAATCTTTTAGTTCAAATCAGTGTGACAGTGCATAGGAAGTTTACAGATCAGTGGTCTGTGACCAATACTAAACCTCATGTTTAACTGTATTGAAAATGACAGAATAAAAGCAGCCCTTCCCTAAAGGAACAGTTCATTTCAGTGTTAGCAAGAAAGATGTAAACTTTCTTCCTACCATGTGGAGAATTGGGTGTGCATAACTCACTGACAGTCATGGCTGTTATATGTCATCAATACCACACATGAGACATCTGGGTTTGGGGGACCAATTTTCTGCCTACCAAAGTGAATAGAAGTTTTGCCTTTGGTTTCAACTGAAGCAGAATCAGGTACTAAAAGATATCGCCAATACCTGAAATTAGCAATTTTTCATTTTTAGTGAAGACTTTTTTTACTATTATTCATGAAAATATGTTAGCTGTCATGTATTGTAATCATGTATAGTTTTACATAGTACAAAAATGTGAAAATTTACCTTAAAATTCTAAATAGATACAATGCAATAGCAGAGCTATCTTACATTTGAGTGGCCATTGGAATACTTTACAAAATGTTATCCTTTATTAGTAGTTAGTGTGTTTTTATTTTGGTGACAATATGTGATTTATAAGGTAATGGCAATTCTACAGAGCACTTTACAACATGTAAGGGGTGATAAAAGATTAATAGAATATGTTAGTGTCTCAGAAAGCCTATCCCAAACTAAAGAAGCACAAATAATAATAATAAAGAATCATAAAGGACAAATCAAATAGAAAGAAACAAAACTATTATAAAGAGAATGTGTCATGCAGATAGTTGTCAGGTAACAGTATTAGTATTAGAAGCAAAAATATCACACACTTTATTACTTTTGGATTTTAAAAACAATGATTTTATTTGAAAAACTGAAAAACAATATAATTTAGCATGAAACCGTATTATGCTCTACATGAACCATTAGGCTACATTAAACCTTTGACACAGGGCTTAAAACATATCCTTTTTCATCATATTTAATAGTTTATTACATTTTAGGTGTATGTAAATGGTACCCAGACCTCTGTTTTTGTTCTTCATCTAAATAAATAAGAGTATATCTACACACCAACATTATTTTTAAATAATTAGTGTTATTTCGAAATAACTTAGTCTGCATTTACACAGCAGGCAGTTATTTCAAAGTAATGTTGAAATACTGTCAAGCTGGAGGACTTCTTACTCCGACTCCTGTAACCCTCGCCCAAGTAGTAAGGGAAGTGGGAGGAAGAAGGCTCTATTTCAAAATAAGTGCTGTGTAGATGCTCCGAATTTTGAAATAAACTATTTCAAAATAAGCTACTCAATTGACGTAGCTCAATTTGCATAACTTATTTCGAGTTAAGCCCTGCTGTGTAGACACACACAAATTGTCTTTCCGTAAATACCCATGCATGTGGCAGATGTCTGCATGTAAATATAATCTTGTCCAGGCACAATTTTTCTTTTTCAGATCCTGTAGAGAAATCTGCATGGGAGGCAGAATCCACACAGGAGATGCTGCATATGATAGCCTTGGAATAAGCCCATGTCATTCTCCTGACACTTGCAAAACATATTATGTAGAATAGGAAATACTGCTTAGTGCTGCTGCTACCTTCTCAATTAATCCTTTCTGTATTGGGAAAAAAATTATGGGGATGTGTCGATTTAAATCTTAGTTTAGGGTGTCAAATTGGCATATGAGTTCCAGCTCACCAGTTTCCCATTTATTTTTTATTAAAGTTTATAAAAATCTCCTACACATTAGCAGATCTTTTCACTTCTCTTTTGGATCCACTTCTACTTTCCAATTCCTACTTTTAATACCCAAACTGGAAAACCAGACTGGACCTACTACAACATCGAAGGTATCATCCATATGTGGTAATGGATAAGAATCCTTTAATTTTACTTTATTTAGTTTTTATAGAATACAGAAAATTTGATGCTGTCATCTTTTTTCTGCACAAGAATGAAGGCTGAGGTCATAGGACTGGTTGAAGGTTCAGTTTTGCCTTCCTCAGTCATGCTTTTGTAAGTGGTCTATAAGGCCTCTTCTCTTTTTGCTACTGGTAATCAGCAAGGTAGTTATTTTAATACAGGTTGAACTTCTCTAGTCCAGCACTATCAAATCTGGCAACATCAATAGTCTGGCATGATTTTAGTTAGCTGGATGTCCACTTACCATGGATATTGCCAAATTTCCTGCAGTCCTATAAGTTTGTTTATAGACACCAGTCCTGGCTCTCAGTATTTTGAGCTGTTACTTAGTTGTAATTTACTCCTAAATGTCTTCAGAGGGTACGTCTACATTGCACACTTATTTCAGAATAAGCTATTCTGAAAGAAATACTCTGAAACAGCTTATTTCAAAATAGCACATCTACACTTCAAAGAAGCTTCAAAATTAGTCCGAGGCAGGCTTCCCTAATGTGGACACTCTACCTTGATTTAGAGTCCATTGGGAAGTAATTACTATGATTGGTCCTGGGAGAGGAGCTATTTCGAAATAGCAACAGTGGAGCATCCACACTACTGCTATTCCAAAATGGCTTTTTCAGAATAGGCATTATTTCTTGTGGAATGAGGTTTACAGAAGTTGGAATAAGCCATCCATTATTTCAAATTTATTTGAAATTTATTTTGAAATTATGGAATTGCTGTGTAGATGCTCTCATTGTTATTTTGAAATAATGGCCGTTATTTTGAAATAACTGTGCTGTGTAGACATACCCTTAGAGCCCAGGAAGCAGTGGAAATGTTGGTAATGCTGCTAGACAATATTGACGTCCTGTGGTTCAGCAAATGTTCTGGTTCAGCACTGGTCAGGTCCCAAGGATGCCAGATTAAAGAGGTTCAACCTACATTATCAATCTTGTGTTGGAACAGTGCAATACAACCTATATATTTTTTGGATTGGGAGAAGCTAATCAAAAAGTCTTATCTGACCTAACCAAAGGTTAGAATGTGTCTCTGATTCCCTGCACTTTGTTTCCCAGCTCTGTTCCTGAGCCTGTCTAAAGGTATTACAACTTTAGAGACTGAACCTCTATACTTCAATTTTAAATTCCCATAAGCTGAGCTCCATCAGCCCAAGTCAGCTGATGCACGCCATTCATGGGTGTTTTATTGCAGTGTAAACCTATTCTTTAATAGAATAGGCTGCAATTTTTTCAACACCCCCTCCCTCCCCACCACCACCACCACCACCACCACCACCATTTTTATAGAAAAATATTGACAATTTATTGAAACCCAAACTATTTGGGTATGTCTACACTTGCACTCTAGTTCGAACTAGGGATGCAAATTCAGGCATTTGAAATAGTCAATAAAGCAGGGATTTAAATATCTCGCGTTTCATTACCATGATCTTGCCGGCACGCTAGTTCGAATCACAGCGGATTCAAACCAGGAAGTGCATGCCGGGACGAGTTGGTTCAAACTAATGTTATTCCTCAAAAAATGAGGAGTAATGTTAGTTCGAACCAAGGTGTTTGGTTTGAACTAAGGGGTTTGCTTAGAACTAACACGTAGACATACCCTTTGAGAATCTCTACCGGTCTCAATGAATTTCCTTACAAAATAAAATTGGGATTTGTGTGTTGAAACTGTCAGCATATTTTGTTTTGATATTTTCTAAATTAAATATTCTGGGTTTTCAATTTGAAATGACTTTTCATACAGAAATTTGGAGTTTTGACCAGCTCTAGTATTAATATGAGCTGGGAAAATCAGATACAGGCAGTCCCCGGGTTACGTACAAGATAGGGACTGTAAGTTTGTTCTTAAGTTGAATCTGTATGTAAGTCAGAACTGGTGGTCAGTTTCAGCAGCGGCTGAATCTGGACGCCAGTTCCGACTTACATACAGATTCAACTTAAGACCCCCAAGCTTCCCCAAGTCAGCTGCTGCTGAAACTGATGAGCGCTGATTCCAGGAAGCCTGGGGCAGAGCAACTCTGCCTTGGGCTTCCTGTAGTCAGCGCTGGTCAGTT